GACCTGACCCTCAACACCGTCACCACAGCGTCTCCTCCGACCTGACCCTCAACACCGTCACCACTGCCTCTCATCTGACCCTCAACACCGTCACCACTGCCTCTCGTCTGACCCTCAACACCGTCACCAAAGTGTCTCTGCCGACCTGACCCCCAACACGGTCACCACAGCATCTCCACTGACCCCCAACAGCGTCACCACTGCCTCTCCACTGACCCCCAATACCGTCACCACAGTGTCTCTCCCAACCTGACCCTCAACACCGTCACCAAAGTGTCTCCGCCGACCTGACCCCCAACAGCGTCACCACTGCCTCTCCTCCGACCCTCAACACGTCACCACAGCGTCTCAAATGACCCCCAACACCGTCACCATGGCGTCTCCACCGACCTGACCCCCAACACCATCACCACTGCCTCTCCTCCGACCCCCAACACCGTCACCACTGCCTCTCCTCCGACCCCCAACACCGTCACCAGGGCGGTTCCTACCCACGTGCTTGGACCCTCCCTCCCCGATGTCCCACCACAGCAGACACGCACCTGGTCTCTGGGCCGCCGGTGGTGGTCCACGACATCCAGAAGAGGGTAGGCTTCCCTCAGCCTCTCGATGGTCACCACCTTCTGGAACCCCAGACTGCGAGGGCAGGAGTTAAGAGGAAACCGTCTCAAAGCCTACGACCCGCCCCTCCACACGCCCCTCCATTCCTAGAAACCGGAATTCTGCGGCACTTCACACGAACTACACTGGAGGAGAGAACATTGTTTTATCCTCCCCCCGGAAAACTGCTTTGATTAGAACTATGACATTCCTATATGTGGGAGGTATGGTGGAGCAGGGGTCGGCACTGCTGACCCGCAGATCTGGGGCGCTGGGTTCAGTTGCCGGGGTGCTGCCTGTGTGGAGTCTGCATGCTTTTACAGGTAAAAACATGTAGACTCCACACAGACAGTCCCCATTACCTGTAAAGCGCTTTGAGTGGAGTGTCCAGAAAAGCACTATATAAGTGTAAGCAATTATTATTATTATTATTACGTTCTCCCTTGCATTTGCGCAGGCGTGAGCCTGGCCAGTACCTGGGTGGGAGACCTCCCGGGAAAAACTAAGGTTGCTGCTGGAAGAGGTGTAAGTGGGGCCAGCAGGGGGCGCTCACCCTGTGGTCCACGTGGGTCCTCATGCCCCAGTATAGTGACGGGGACACTAGACTGTAAACAGGCGCCGTCCTTCGGATGAGACGTAAAA